GAGTCCCTCCCGCCGCTAGGCGCCGAGGGCCGGGCTGTGCCTGGGCAGCCGCGTGGGTGGCCAGTGGCAGGCGGCTGTGTGCGGGAGTCGCAGGTGCATCTCGGGCGGGTTGATGGCCTGGGAGGGGAGGCCAGTGGGCACTGGGCCATGGGTGGCAGGTCTAGGCCTGGGGGCCGGGGGTGGCGGGCGCCTCTGGGCGCTGTGCATCGGGGCGGGTTTGGAGGGGCCCGGGTCGTGGGGAGGGGTGCATGGAGCTTTCTGGAAAGCGGTCAATCACGGCTGATTCAGTTGTGTGGGGGCAGAGAGAGGGTGTCTGGGCGCTGATCACCGTCGGGGTGCCAGGGTCGGGGGGCCTCGGATCGCGGCGGTGTATCTGGTTGAGGGAGGAGTGTATGCGGTGGCCTGGCTGGGAGGCGTCCACCTGGGAGTGGGGGGCCTGGACGGTGGGGGAGGGGCGAGAAGACCGGGCTGGGGAGGGTGCCTGGGACCTGTGTTCTTGAGTGGGGCTGTTGCTGAGGACAGCTGAGGCACTACGCGGTCTGGGGTGGGGGCTGGCCTGCCCCTCACCCATTGACCCTCCTTTCATCTCTCCTGGCACCCCCAGACATGTTGCTGCTCAAGAAACAGACGGAGGACATCAGCAGCGTATATGAGATCCGGGAGAAGCTCGGCTCGTGAGTGTGTGTGAATGTGTGTCAGTGAATGTGAGTGTGTGTCAGTGTGAGTGTGTGTATGCGTGTGGGGGATGGGTGGCATGGGAAGGGGAGGGCCTCCCCATTTCATTCATCTAGGGGGGCCCTTCTGCCTTCCCACCTCTGCTCTCCCTCCCCTTCTCTCCTCCTCCCCCTCCCTCCCTCCCTCCCCTTCTGCCGCAGGGGCGCTTTCTCTGAGGTGGTGCTGGCCCAGGAGCGGGGCTCTTCACACCTTGTCGCCCTCAAGTGCATCCCCAAGAAGGCCCTGCGAGGCAAGGAGGCCCTGGTGGAGAATGAGATTGCTGTGCTCCGCAGGTGTGCACCCCGCTGGGGTTGGGAGTGTTCTAGGATGGAGCGCCCAGCCTCCTCTGTGTCCCTAGAAAGGCCTGGCCCCAGGCTCTGCCTTGCTGGAGTGGGTAGTGGTGGCCTGTGGTGGGGAAGAGGGCAGGGTGGAGGAAGAGAGGAGGGTGAAGGGCTTCCCTGGGGATCCAGGGGATGGCGGCCCAGGAGGGGTTTTCTCTTGCCTTTGCAGGGTCAGCCACCCGAACATCGTGGCCCTGGAAGATGTCCATGAGAGCCCGTCCCACCTCTACCTGGCCATGGAGCTGTGAGGAGGGCAGCGTCAGGCTAGGGGGTCAATGGGCTGGGTGGGGAGTTGGGGCCGAGGGGCCTGGGTCAGCTGAGCCCCTGCTCCCTCCAGGGTGACAGGGGGTGAGCTGTTTGATCGCATCATGGAGCGGGGCTCCTACACGGAGAAGGACGCCAGCCACCTGGTGGGCCAGGTCCTCGGCGCTGTCTCCTACCTGCACAGCCTGGGCATCGTGCACCGAGACCTCAAGGTGCCTGCCCTCCTGCCCACCCGCCTGGGGCCTTGCCCTGTGCACCATGGGTCAGGGGACTTGAGGGTGCCCAGCCCCAGCGGCCTGCCTTGTCCCAACCCGGGGGCTGTGCCAGGGCTAACTTGGTGCTTTTTCTGGCATCCTTGTGTCACAGCCTGAAAACCTTCTCTATGCCACCCCCTTTGAGGACTCCAAAATCATGGTCTCTGACTTTGGCCTCTCCAAAATCCAGGCTGGCAACATGCTAGGAACTGCCTGTGGGACTCCAGGATATGTGGGTAAGGGAGGGGGTGCCCAGGAGCCCGAGGGGCTGGGGGACCCTGTGGGAGCTGCGGCACTGGGGCGGGGCAGGTGGCGGGCCATTCCTGGGGTTGGTTAGGCTGAGCTGGGCAGCACTGAGCGTGGTGCGCGTGTGCACGGGTGTGCGTCTGTCTGTCTCTGGCCCCCAGCCCCGGAGCTCTTGGAGCAGAAACCCTACGGGAAGGCCGTAGATGTGTGGGCCCTGGGTGTCATCTCCTACATCCTGTGAGTGACCACTGGGAAGGCTCTTCTTCTGCCTGCCTGCCCCCTGCTGGGTTGGGGAGGTTTGGACAGCTGGGTGATTCATCTGTGGGTGCCAGGCTGTGTGGGTACCCCCCCTTCTACGACGAGAGCGACCCTGAACTCTTCAGCCAGATCCTGAGGGCCAGCTACGAGTTTGACTCTCCCTTTTGGGATGACATCTCAGAATCAGGTGAACTTGAGGCTGGCCCCGAGCTCAGGGAGGGGGGAGTGACGAGGGGGCACGGGGATGGGGCGGGCTGACCTGGCCTCCCTGCCCCAGCCAAGGACTTCATCCGGCACCTTCTGGAGCGAGACCCCCAGAAGAGGTTCACGTGCCAGCAGGCCTTACAGCATCTTTGGTGAGCCGGACCCCTGCTAAGCTGTCCCGGGACCAGAGGGACCACACCCTGAGACCCCCCACACCCCACTGACCCCAAGCTTTCCCCTAGGATCTCTGGGGATGCAGCTTTTGACAAGGACATCCTGGGCTCAGTCAGTGAGCAGATCCAGAAGAATTTTGCCCGGACCCACTGGAAGGTCGGTGTAGGGAGGGGCCTGTGGACCTGACTCAAGGCTGCCTGCCCCCCACTTCTCTGTCTGCCCCCTCCCTTAGCCTCAGGGGGATGGTCTGGGCTATGGTCCTCCACATCTTGAGGCCGGGCCCCAGGCATGACCTGACACCCTCTCTCCCTGCAGCGAGCATTCAATGCTACCTCCTTCCTGCGCCATATCCGCAAGCTGGGGCAGAGCCCGGAGGGTGAGGAGGCCTCAGGGCGGAGGCTGGCCAGCCACAGCCACCCAGGCTTCCAGACCAGCCAGCCCTCCGAGTGGTGACGCCCAGGTTCGTGGGGGTGGCCCTGCACCCCTAGGAGCTGGCTCCTCAGTGAGCTTAAGGGGTGGCAGGCCCCACGTGGCCAAGAGCAGAGCTGGGTGGACCCCATAGGGTAGAGGGCTGAGGGCAGAGAGCACTGACAGGGAGGGCCCGGTGTTCCTGGAGAAGTGGATGAGGGACAGAGAGAGAGGCCATGGGGGCTGGTGACTCCAGGGACTGCGAGGATTCTCGAGAGGCCCAGCGCCAAGACCAGCGGGCACCACTGCTAAGGACCTTGGCTAGGAACAGGGGCCCCGGGGCAGGCCGGGGCACCCCCTGACTGGCCCCCTTCTCTGTGCTTCTCTCTTCTCCTTCACCCCAGGCCAAGGCCGAGGCCAGGTGCACCGACCCCCGGATCCCTTCCAATGGACCCTTTCAGTCCCCTCTCCCTCCCCCAAGCCTGGGGCTGGCCTGTGCTGGAGAGTTTGGGTCATGTGGGTGCAGTGTATGGCACTGGGGTGGGAGCTGGCGGGGCATGTCCACAGGGGCTCCCCTCCCCTGTCGCTAGAAGCCAAGAGGCCCCCGGGGCTGTCCTTCCTGTGCGCTGTTCTGTGCTTTGCTGACTGTGAGTGGTCCTGCTTGCGCCATGGCCCTCCAGCCCCTCTCCAGTTCTCCCCAAATTAATAAAGACAGACGGAGCAATGGGCAGTGCTGAGCTGGAGGGAGGGATTGGAGATGAGGGACGAGTGTGGAGAGGATGGTGTCTCTGAGCAAAGGAGACCAAGGAAGCAAGCCCACTGCCCAGCAGGCCCCCAAGGGACATCGCCCGTTGCCACCCAAAGTTCCGCTCCGTCTGGTCCAAGAACTTCCTGTTCCCACCCCTCAAAGTGCTAGCAAGAGGCAGCCCAGCAGCCAGCTCTGCCACCCTAGGTGTCAGCCTGCATGTGGCTCTGGCACCCTGGGAGAAAACGGGCACAGCTCAGGCCTGCCTACTGCTAGCAGAGGTGGTGGCAGGAGGCTGAATGGGGGCTGAGGAGTGCTGTCCTCAGGCCTCAGGGGATGGCCCGCAGCGCCCTTGCTGATCAGGAACAGGCTGGGAAGGGCACACAGATGGGTGGAGGCCGGAGTGCTACAGCTGGGAGGGCAACCAGAGTCCTAGGCTATCTTCTCCAACCTCTCCGCTCCTCCTGCTTCCTGGGCCGTGGCCTGATGGAGAGCATCTCCAGTGTACACGTTCTTGTGCAGAAAAGCTCTGGAAACCCAGTGTCAGGGGGTGCAGGAGGAGCCTCTTGGCCAGGAGAGGGTGCCACTGGGGCCTCAAGCCCTGTGCTGTGTTGTGGTCTTGGAACACTTGGGCTCAGGCCCCCGGGGCAGTCAGGCTGGGTGGGTCCTGGCTTCTGGTGTCAAGGGTGGTGGCGGTCTACTGGTCTGCGCAGCCCCTGCCCTTCGAGGCCCCAAGCCTCTCCTGGCTCTGCTAGGCCTTTGTTCCGCACCCATCAGGGGAAGACTCCTCTGGCCTCTCCTTAACCCCAGCAGAGCAGAGGGAGCACCCTCAGAGCTCTGGGTGAGCTGGCTGCCCCTTTCCCCCACTGTGACCCTTGCCCCCAGGGCCCCTGCCAGCCTGCACTGCAGAACGTGATGGAGAAGACACATCTCCTTGCCGACCTTTGGGACTTGAAGGGAGGCAGTGAGGCCTCAAGCCAGGCTGGCCTGGGTCCTGGGGTTGGGGCTGGAGGGGGAGCAGTGTCCACTGAGGAGAGCAGCCGCACAGATAATTGGGGGTGGGCGCAGCCCAGCGTGGGCATGCCCGCCTGCTGATGCCCAGGCTACAAGCCCCTCTTTGGCTTTCTTCTCTCAGCATCCTCCCACATCCGCATGGCCACCTGTAGGCCATCCTTTGCTCCAGGCTTCTGGGGTCACACAATCCTGTCCTACTGTGTGTGCTGCCCTTCACCCACAGCCCAGGGGACCTCAGGCAGCCATAACCACAGTCCATCTCAACAGCCTGGCCTCTTCACCTCCAGCGACCTGTCCTGCCTCCCTTTAGCCCCCAGCTTGGGGCTTTGCCTTCTCTTGCCCTGCAACCTTGAAGTCCTTACCACGTCCACTTTTGCTGGAGGGCGGTTGTGGAGGGGGTGGACTTACTCAGACGTTGGGAATGATCTGTGTGGGGAAAGTAACAACTGTCTGCTCAGGCAGCCTGGAGCAGGAGCACCAGAGCCAGTCTTTCGGAAGGAATCCCACTACTTCAGAGACAGCCAGCTCTTCCAGCCCATTGCTGCGGAGTTGGGCCCTGGCTCCTGCGGCACTGACACAGGATGCAATTTGACCTCCAGCCAGCAGGTGGCGCCATGGTCACACTTTCCACATCCATCAACCTCCCCGTGATCCTTTAGCACCTGGGGCAGCCGCTCAAAACCATTTTTCTCCTCCCCCATCTCCCCAAATCCTGCCCCAGGGAAGTCTTCACTTGGGGAAGACGTCCCACCCTCCCCATCTGGAAGCGGTGTGATGGCGGGACCTCCAGGGCAGGCAGAGGTGGCACCCTTCTTTTATCCCTCCAAGCCTTTCCCATGTGAGGAGACAGTTTGCCAGAGGAGAACTTTGGGTCACCTAGGCCATGGGATGCGATGAGCGGCCTGGAAGAGTGATGGGCAGGGGATGCTGCAAGAGCATTTAAGGAGCAGGGAACAGCGGGTGCTCAGACTAGAGCCTGGCAGGGTCAGGGTTGGGCTTTAGTCTCTGAGCAGGGGTGAGCCACTGGAGGGGTGGGAGCTGGAGAGTGCCTCTGTCCAGGCTGGGGTAGGTGCTGAACTTGTGGGTGTCAGGGGTTCCAGGGATACTCAGTGGGGTCCCACTGGGGATGGAGAGACAGAAGTGGGTTGTCCTGGGAGCTCTTTAGAAGTCAGTGATGGGTTGGGGAGAGGGATCCGGAGTGGCCCATGCATTTCTGGGTAGACCGTGGGAACATCCACCAAGAGGGGTTCAGCTGGGGTGGGTTGGGGGACAGACAACGACGCTGATTTTGGACATGGTGAATTGGAGGTGCCTGAAGGGGCATGGAAGCAGAGCAAAGAGAATTTGTGTATATTAACTCAAACCTCGACTATGAGGTAGCTAGTCTTATTAGCACCGTGCCCACTTTACATATGAGGAAACCGAGGCACAGAGAGGCCAAATCGCTGAGCCCAGGCCACATAGCCTTGGGCTCTACCCACCTGCCTGCCTCTAGGTGGGTGAAGAGAGCCCTTTGGGAACATGGAGGTCTTGTGGGGACTTGAGGAGAAGACGGGGGACTTCACCTTTCTCTTGGTGAGTGCAGACTGTCAGAGAAGCTGGGTTGGGGGGACTCCCCTGGATTTGAGTGTGAGCCAGGCATGTGGTTTTGTCGCCTTTAACATCCTCTATGCCTCTAATTTCATTTAATTAATTTCCTGTGAAGAAGGAACCTGGCAGGTAGGGTGCAGAATCCGGGCACTAAGAAGACCCCTCTGAGAAGTGAGGCAGGGCTGATGGCAGGTCCACGTGTCTGGGGGCCTTGTTTGGGGGCCAGGTGAGAGATGTAGGGAGCCTGTGCCGAGGCAGCTGAAGAGGGACTGGAAAGATGGAGGTTGGTCTTGGCAGGCTGAATAGGGGGCTGTGAGGGAGTCCTCTGAACCCAGGAGAGAAGCAGGCCTGTTCAGGAAATGAAGAGGCCAAACCAGGCCCCCTGTCAGGGCTCTAAGCCTGGCTTCTCCCTGCCAGCTATGTGGTGGGCCCATGGCAGCCATGTTGTCTACCTACCCCAGCTTTGTCCAGGCACCCCTGTCTCCATCCCTGTCTCCTCAGGTGGGCAAGACATGAAGTATGGAGTGTTTGGGAAAAAACCAATAACTTGGTTTGGTTGACTGAAGGTGGCTGTGAAAAATGCTTAGAGATTGGTTTGGAAAGTGAACTTTCTCAAGAGAGCACTGGGGAGCCACTGGGGGGTTGTAGGTAGGACAGTCACAAGGTCAGACTTTTGCTTTAAGAGAGTTCCAGTATTTTTCAATCCTCTGGCCCCCCCTTAAAAATATAAAAGCCTCATCTCTAGATTTCAACCCCTCTCCCCAGCCCCATAGAGATTTCAATAGTTCCCCTCATGCCAGGGAGCCAAGCCTGCCTCACATGATGTCCTGAGTAGAGGCCCAGCTGCTTTTCCTGTTTCTCCTTGTAGTTCTTTCAGCTATGTCTTTATGTATTTTTAGGTTAGGTTATGAAGTGCTGATGAGTTTAGAATTGCTATATGTTTCAGGTAAGTTCAATATTTGATCAACATGGAGCAACATGTGTTAATACTAGTAATGCTTCTGCCTGGCCATTTACTTCCATGCTGCTTGTAGCATAGCACCTATGTCTTTCTTTTGGTTAATATTTACCTGGTATATCTTATTCAGTCCTTTTTCTTTCAAATGTACATATTTTTTGAGATATATTTCACGTGCCATAAAATGCACCCTTTATAATGTACAATTTATTGGTTTTTTTGGTGTACAGATGGTCCCTGACTTACAACAGTTTGACTTAAAAAATGATTTTTCAACTTTTATGATGATGTGAAAGCAATATGCATCCAGCAGAAACTGTGCTTTGAATTTTGAATTTTGATATTTTCCCGGGATAGCGACTTGTGTAATCCTCTCATGATGCTGGGCTGTGGCAGCGAGCCACAGCTCCCAGTTGGCCCGTAATCATGTGGGTGAACAACTGATACACTTAGGACCATTCTGTACCCAGACAGCCATTCCGTTTTTCACTGTCAGTCCAGTATTCAATTACATGACAAATGCAACACTTTGTTATAAAATAGGCTTCATGTTAGATGATTTTGCCAAACTGTGGGCTAATGTAAGTGTTCTGAGCACGTTTAAGGTAGGATAGGCTAAGCTATGATGTTCGGTAAGTTAGGTATATTAAATGCATTTTGTACTTAGGATATTTTCAACTTATGATGGGTTTATTGGGATGTAACCCCATGGTAAGTTGAGGAAAATCTGTATTTACAAAGTTTTCATCACCATGATCTAATTCTAGAACATTCTCACCACCCCAAAAGAAAACCCTGTGGACATTAGTGGCAACTCCCCATCCCCCGTGAGCCCCCAGCCCCTGGCAACCACTAGTCTACTTTCTGTCTTTGTGGATTTGCCTGTTCTGTTATTTCACATAAATGGAATCACAATATGTGGCTCTTTGTGTCTGGCTTATTGACTCAACACAATGTTTTCAAGGTTCATCCATGTTGTAGCACGTGTCAGTACTTATGTACATTTTTACAGCTGAACGTTGTTCCACTCTATGGACAGACCATGCTCTATTTATCCATGTATCCACGGATGGACATTGGGTTGTCTCCACCTTTTGGCTATTGTGAAGAATGCATCTATGATCATTCCTGTGCGAGTTTTTGTGAGGACATGTTTTTCAGTTGCATTATTTGGTAGAATTTACCAGTGAAGACTTCTGGACTTGGATTTTCTTTGTGGGAAGATTTTCAATTACTAATTCAACTTATTTGCTTGTTATAAATCTATTCAGATTTTCTATTTCTTTTAAAGTCAATTTTGGTCATCTGTGTCTTTTTAGGAATTTGTCCATTTCATCTGAATTATCTAATCTGTTGGCATAAAGTTGTTCAAAACATTGCCTTATAATCCTTAACATTTGTATAGGTCAGTAGTAATGTCCCCCTTTTCATCCTTGATCTTGGTAGTCTTTTTTCTTAATCAATCTAGATAGGATCAATTTTGTTCATCTTTTCCAAAAACAACTTTTATTTTTACTGATTTTTCTCTATTGTTTTCCTGTTTTCTACTTCATTCATTTCTGCACTAATCTTACCTCTGCTTGCTTTGGATTTAGTTTGCTTTTCTTTTTCTAGTTTATTAAGGCAGATCATTTGACTCTTGATTTGAGACCTTTTTTGTTGTTGTTGTTGGTATAGGCATTTAAAGCTATAGATTTCTTTGGTAAACAATAAATATATTGTTGTTTGAATCTAGTTTTTTTGAATGTCCAATTTTTGATTGGCGTGTTTAGACCATGCACATTTAATGTAACGATCCATGTGGTTGGATTTACCTTTGCCATTTTGTTATATCTCCCGTCTTTTTGTTCCTGTCTTCTTCCTTGACTGCAGTCACTTGTATTAAATATTTTTTGGTGTACCATTTTATTTTCGCTGTTGATTTTTTAACTATATATTTTTTGAATTATAATTGCATTACAATATGCCTCTGAACTAATCATAATTTACTTTGTATTAAAACTCATTTATTTTTGGTAAATTATAGAGACTTTGCTGCAGGATAGCTCCATTCCCTCCTTCCTGTTCTGTGCTATTAATGTCATGTATATTACATCTATATGGATATAAACTCCACAGTGCAGTGTTACAGCCATCGCTTCATACAATCTTATGTCTTTTAAAGAAGTTAAGAGAAGAAATGAGAAAGAATATATTGAGAAATATTTATATTAACCCACATATTAATCATTTTTTCTGCTTTTCATTTCTTCTTGTGAATTCAAGTTACTAACTGGTGTCAGCCTGAAGGATTTTTTTCTAGTACTTCTCGTAAAGAAGTATACTAGCAATAAATTCTCTCAGTCTTTAACTGGAAATGCCTTTTTTTTTTAATCTTCCATTTTTAAAGGATAGTTTTGCTAGATATAGAATTTTTGACTGATTGTGTTTTTTTCCCCTTTCAGTTCTTTGATTATGTCATTTCACTGTCTTTTGGCCGCCATTGTTTCTGATGGTTTCTGTTATTGTGGTTTCCTCCTACATGGCTTGTTTTTCTCCCATTGCTTTCAAAATAGTCTATCTTTGGCTTTCAACAGTTTGACTATGAAGTGTCTATGACTAGCTCTCTTTGTGTTTATCTTTCTTTGAACTTCTTGGATCTGGCTACTGTTTCTCATAAAATTTTGGACATTTCTGTCATTGTTTCTTCAAATATTTATTCTGACCCTTTCTCTCTCTCGTCTTCTTCAAGGCCTCCCTTTACACATGTTTTAGAGTGCCTCATGTTGTCCCACAGGCCTCTGAGGCACAAGTATTTTTCTGTCTGTTCTTTAGACTGGATAATTTATATTGTTGTGTTTTTAAGTTCACTAGTAATTTCTTCTGACATCTTGAACCTTCTCTTTAATACTGCTAGAAAAAATGTCATTTTAGTTATTGTGCTCTTCAGACACATTATTTCCATTTAGTTATCTTTTCACAACTTCTGCATCTGTATGGAGAATCTCTATTTGTTGATTTGCTGTTGTCATACTTTACTTTAACTCTTTAAACATGGCATTCTTTAGTACTTTGAACATATTTATAGTAAGTACTCTGAAGTCTTCGTCGACTAATTCCAACATCTGAGAGCACTCAGAGATAGTTGCTATTGACTGTTTTCCCTAATGTGGGTCACATTTGCTGTTTCTTTGCATGTCTTGTAATTTTTTGTTGGAAATTGAGGATTTTAGATAATATTTTCCAGCAACTCTGGATTCTGATAGTCCCTTTCCCCCTGGAGGTTACTGTTTTTGCTGTATGTGTGTGTGTGTGTGTGTGTGAACTTGTTTGCTGCTTTGTTGTGTAACTTTTCTGGACTAAATCTGTGCTTAATCTAGCTTAGTGGCCAGCCAAATTGGACAGAAACTGGGCTCAAATGTCTCGAGCCACTAAGACTTGTGTACTCTACTGCCGGATCTGTGTGTGGATAGGGGAGATCTTTCAATGTTTAGGCTATTATCAAGTCTTCCCTGGGTTTTCTTTCCACTGACCCTTTTGAGTCTCCTACACACATGTGCACAGCCTCAAGGTGGTCCAGGAGAGCCTGAATGGCTTGAGCCCTCTCCGTTCTCCAGCTAGTCGGGAATACGCTCACCCTACCCGTGTCCACAGCCTCGGTCTAGCAGAGCTGAGTTGCTGGGCCTTCCCTGCTGGCCTCTTCCCCAGAAGCTGTTTCCAAACCAAGCTAGGAGGGCTGCTAGCAGCCCTGGGCCGGAGTGTTGCCGATTCCCAAAGGTCAGCTTCTCATTGTATTATATACCTTTGGTTGATTTCCAGGTCATAAATATTGTTTTTGTCAATTTTTTCCAGCTTTGTAGTTGCTTTCCTAGGGAGGTTATTTGTTGATCTCCTCATTTGGCCATAGCTGGAAGTCCTGACCTTTGATCTTTTTTTTCCTGTCCGATCATTTAGATGTACCTCTTATAAACAGCTTATGACTGGATTTTTAAAAAATCCTGTCTTTAACTGGAAAATTTAGTCTATTTATTTTGCTTAGTGATGTTTGGATTGATTTCTAAGATCTTATTTTGTGCTTTCTACTTATTCCAATGTTTGTTTCTTTATTTTCCTCTTTTTACTTCTTTTAGATTTAGATTTTTCTCCTCACTTGATATTTTCCCTCTACTAGTTTGGAAGTAATACACTCTATATTCTTTTAGTAGTTCCTTAGAAAACATAGCGTGCATATTTATCTTCACAAAGCTTAAAGTTGTTCAATACTGATGTGGCCGTGAAGGAGTAACAGGGTCCAGAATTCCCCTCCCACCATACACAATTGGAAAACTTGGCACGATATATGAATCAAGTGTTTTCAGATGATGGACAATAGCTGGTGAAGACCCTGTGGTGCCTGAGAGAAAGGAAACAAATTAGGTAAATTCCACCACCCAGACTTTTCTGACTGAGGTAGAAGAAGCATTAAAATGTAACCCCTAATGATAACCCAGGGAAAAATATAATTCAAAAAGACACCTGCACCCCAATGTTCATAGCAGCACTATGTACAACAGCCAAGACATGGAAACAACCTAAATGCCTATTGACAGATAATTGGGAAAAGAAAGTGTGGTATAGATATTCACAGTGGAATATTACTCAATCATAAAAAAGAATAAAATAAAGCCATTTGCAACAACATGGATGGACCTGGAGATCGTCATTCTAAGTGAAGTAAGCCAGAACGAGAAAGAAAAATACTATATGATGTCGCTTATATGTGGAATCTAAGGAAAAAAGACACAGATGAACTACTTATTATTTATAACTTGATTGATTTCTTGAATATGTGTGAGCACGTCTGACTGTCCTTTATGAATGGATTACTGCATTCTGTTGATTCTTAAAAAAATGTAACTCCTGGTGATAAAAATCAGCCGATCAAAGCAGACTCAAGGGGAGTCCACTTTCTGGTCTGGCACATAAGAACCTGGAGGTCGTCCATGCTAGCAAGTGAAACACTCAACAACCTGAAAAATCAAGAACTCTTCTTAGTTCCAACAGGGACAAGAGGTCATAGGCCAAACCACTGCTCCCCAAACTAGAGAGACTCCAGGTGAATACAGAGCATCACAATTTACCGGAGCAGAAGCCCGTGAGCAGGAAGAGTGCTGAAGTAAGAAAGCCTGAACTTGCACTGACGATCTGCTGGGGGCTAGGGTAGACAAGTCTGAGAGTTCAAAACTCCAGGGGGACCCAGTCCTAGGGAAGTTCCCACCCTCTTGTGAGTTTTACCTCCAGGAGTCCTACCAGGTTCTCACAGTGAAGACTGGAGAAAAATCTCCTCCTGCCTCTGGCAGGCAGAGGGGGAAAGTAGAGATTTTGAAATAATACACCAGGGCATTCTGTTCTTAACAAAGCTCACACCCAAGACAAACGATTATACCTGAGCCTGGCCTATTGGGGTTTTATCAGAGTCTAGCAGAGCTGGGAAAGGGAAACACCTCACTTCAGCCCCCTCTAGCCATCTTAACCCACCTTAGTGGGGCGGAAACTGAGAAGCACTTGTGAAGGTCACAACCTAGAGGCACAGGCTCACCGAAAGACTCAGGCCTGATCCTTAGACTGTAGACTGCTCCCCCTCCCCCCACACCTCACCAGCGGTAAGTCAAGGCCTCCTTTACTGCATTACTCCTTTACTGCCTGGCTTTCAACAAAGAATTGCAAGGCATACTAAAGGGAAAAAACCACGGTTTGAAGAGACAGAGCAAGCATCAGAAGCAGACAGATATGGCAGGGATGTTGGACTGGCGATTTAAAACTCCATGCTTAATATGCAAAAGCCGTGGAAGGTACCATCTTCAGGGGGTCCTGGGATTAGAAGGAGGCCATCTCTGGGGAGACTGATATTCTACTGACTACACCTAATGAGAGCACTGCCCTTCAAGAGTCCTGGCTGTGTGTGTGGGCCCAGGGATTGTCTCCCAGCTCCCATGGGTGTCCCATGGAAAGCCACGGGAAGAGGATCCCCAGGGAGGAGGGATGGCCTCTGACTCTGGGCTCCTGGGTGTAGATACCACTGTGACAGGTGCTGGCCCTAGAGCTGGTTCATGCCCCTGGACTCAAGGATCCTCATTGTTTCTGAACTTGGAGCCTTCCTCTTATTTTCCCACCAGCTCAGCCAGTCATTTAAGCATGTTTTTAGACTCCATCCTATGTTTTAGGGATTTTGGACAGGAAGGATGTCTCTGGACACCCACATGGTGCACAAAGTCCCCACTGCCTTCTCTTACTGCCCTTGTTTCCACCCACCCTCTGGCTTCTCCTCCACTTCCTGCCACATCTGTGTCCTTGGGAATCACGGCTTTAAAACGACCCCTCTGGCTACAGTGTGCTGAAGGCACTGGAGGCATCCAGAGCTGCATCCAGAGCTGCAGCCAGGAGGCCAGGAAGGAGCCAGCCCCAGCTGTCACTTCAAGTGGCCCAGTGGCCTCTGCAGGCTCTCCCTGCCCCCAATCCAGGTCTTTGCAGTCCAAATTCTACACTGCCTCAGCCAGAAGGACACACACTGGGATGTGCAGGTCTTTGGGCGTCCCTCCTCAACTTGGGTCCTGCTGCGGCTCTATCTGGTCATCCCGGGGCTTGGGTTTGACTTTGCACTGAGTCTCAGGGCTCAGCTTCCAACCCCCATGGTCACTTCTGGGTCCCTCCTCCCTTGCTCTCCCCACCACACCGGACACCTGGCGTCATTTACTGCTTCATGGGCTCTGTCCCTCCCATTCTGGGAAGTCGACTCCAAGCGGCAGGTCCCGGGCTCACTGCTGCGACAGAGTCTCTGGCCATGTGTGTGGCACAGAGCAGGGGCTCAATGGTTGTGAGTGAACAGGTGACTCAGAGGTTAGGCTTACAGGCAGCATGGAGGCGAGATGGGAAATGGTGACACAGGGGTGCGGTGGTGCTCGAGTCCTGATCAGCCCAGCACACCCCACCCCTTCCCAAGCCTCCCTCCCCACCTTTCTGCAAACCCTCCAAGGTGCTCAGGAAACAGCTTCCCTCCATTCAGTATCTTACGGAAACCGTTTATTCAGGAACAATTAAAGAAAGCAACCATGGTGTGGCTTCCGAAGGGTGAGTCCCAGGGACTGCTGGCTAGTGTGCATGTGTGAGCATTGATACAGACAGACACACACGCGTGTGCGCCGCCCATGAAGGGTATGTACTGAAATGAATGACTGTGTGTGTGCAGCTTGGCCCCTTCCCCGCCCCCCAAACCAACCATGGCTGTGTGGGACCCACAGTGGCAAAATCCAGGCCTTCTTCTCCCCCTCCCCCACCCCCAGCTCTTGCTTTGAGACCCCATCTCCTCCGGCGGCAGTTTGACCACCCTCAGTCACAAAGAGCCCCAGTGATCCTGTCAAGACATCTGGGGGAAGAGGAAAAAAAGCATCTTTTCAAATGTCAAGTGGATAAACAGTCAGGGCGCCAGATGTGTGGCCGGGAACCCGCCCAGCGGCTCCCAGGCCAGCGCCCTCCCCTCTAGCGCTGCCCAGCCAGGAACCACCCAGAAAGGGGCTGTGCCCATGGATGTGGGGCAGCCACTGTGCCTCCAAGTCCACATCCCCTGGGAGGCCCCCAGTCCCAAGAGGCCCGAGCCCTCTGGGCAGGGGGTGGGAGAGGGTGACTACACTGGTGGTAATGGTGAGCCCCTCCCCATGAGCAGCCATTTGGGTCCAGGGATGGGACTGGGAGCAGGTCCCTGTGGCAAATGAGGTGGCCGGAACAGGCACACGCCATTCCTGAAGAGGGAAACCACGAGAGGCTCGGGGCCCAGCCAAGCTGGCCAAGCACACAGGGCCTGGGCCCTGGGAACTGGCAGCCACCTGGAAAAGTTTCTCCGGATGGGAATACCTATCCCCATCCCCCACTCCCCAAAGGAGAAAGTAACAGTCGCGAAAGAGGCAGGGTCTGGAGCGTGGTTCCGCCCCAAATCGGTGCGGGTCAGGCTGATGGCCCCAGGCCCGGCCCATAGGCACGTTTAATAGGATTCCCCGTGGATGTTTTGAGTGGGTAGGACAGGTTTCTCCCCACGCCACCCTGGAGGGGCTCCCAGATCCCACCTCGACTCACAGCCCCCACATGAGGTATTGAGCGCTCCCCCCACCCCCACCCCACCCCCCCACCCCCGCCGCTTAGGCTGATCCCCCTCCCGCCTCCTCCCCAGCACATGGGTGATCGGGAGCACCCACTAGGGGGCGACCCAGGGCCCTATGTGGCGTCCAGCTCGAAGACGCCTTCGCTGGTCGGGGTGGTGAAGAAGGAGGGCGGGTCAGAGGTGGCAGACTCCTGCCCGCCGCTGCCCTGCTCCCGGGCGCGCCTCTCCTCCAGCCGCAGGCTGCGTTCGAAGTCCAGCAGCTGCCCCATGAAGTTGAAGTTGGGTGAGATGTTGGACTTCTTTCTCTTGACCAGGTCGTAGGCATCGTTGAGCGAGAGGTGGAGCTTCTGCATGAGGTAGGCCACGGTGACGGTGACAGAGCGGCTGACGCCCGCCAGGCAGTGAACAAGCACCCCGCAGTTCTGGGACAAAGCCTCGTCTGGTGGGGGGGCAGAGCGGGGGCCCACATGAGATTTGGATGGTGGCCTTCTGGGGGTTCCTGCACAGCCCCATCCCAGCACTGTCACTGGCAGTCTCTGGGAGCTGGCCCAGCACTGCCTGACCCCAGACGTACCATCCAGGCTGTGGGTATGGTGACTGAGCCTGGTGGTACCCTCGTGAGGGAGAAGGAAGAGGCGGGAGAGGCCAGGGGCCAGGTTTGGAGGGCAGGGAGGGAGGCAGCCAGGGCAGAATGGACTCACCGATGAACGCAATGGCCTCGGGAAAGAACTGAGACAAGTTCTGGCTCCAGTGGTCTGAGATGGGGATCTGCTTGTAGTGAAAGTCGCCGTTCTTCTCAAAGAGGTTAGGGAGGTTGGGGGTGACGTTGAGGATGTAGCGGATGCCCAGTTTGGCCAAGCTCTCCACATTGGCCGAATCCCTGGCACTGCCCAGGTAGAGGTTGGGCAGGATCTGCACGGGGAAGGATGGCAGCAGCCCCGCTGGGGGGGGTGTGGCGCCCTCCGAATCCAGGCCACAGCTCATGGAGTCGCGGTCGGGCTCGGATTCCCCATCTGAGCAATCGGAGCCCAGGTACAGGCCGCCGAGCCCCACCACTGGGCTGGGCACTGGGGCCATGCTTGGGCCACCATGGCTGCTGAGGCTGGTCTCACATAGATGAGGGCACTCGGCCTGGAATCTGCTGAAGCCACCTGGGAGGGGAGAAGGGGAGAGTCCCATTGATCTGGACCCCTGGGCAGCCAAGTGCCCGGGCTGGGGATAGGGAACCAACCCTAGTCAGCCCTGATCCTCGAGGAACTTGTCGGTGTCCCCAAGGGGAACTCGAAAGCCAGCAGCCTGGTATCCCTTGTGGTGGCTACTTCTCTGGACAGCAAATGCCCACTTCAGCTGTAAGACACTGGGCCCAGGCAGAGCCGCCCAAAGAGGATCTTATACCGCCAGGGCCAGGCCAAGGCAGGCACGGGAGCTCAACAGAGTTTAGATGCACTGTCAGCATTAGGGAGGACAGCAGCCATCACTTAAAGAATCAGAAAGGTTCACATATGAGTTCTCTGCCTGGGTGTCTCCCGATCCAGCTTGACCAGAAGCACCTCAAGGGCAGGGGCCAGGTCACAGCCATCTTTGTGCTCTCTTCAGGGATGAAGTGGGACCCCAAGGAGCAGAGGGCCTGGGGGAGAGGGTGGCGTTCCACCCGTACGGTCCCAAAGTCCCAAGAAGTGAGTATTTCCATCTACAAATATCTACTATTTCCCAGGGCTGGGCCTGGAAATCCAACATTTTATTTATTTCTTTATCACTGTGCATTCAGAATGCAGGAAGGGACGATGCCCCAATGACCCTCCTCGATGGGGAGGTGGGGACAGCTGGCTCTGTAGGTTCATGGGAACCCTGTCCCTACCCTGGATCTCTGGGGGTGTTTGACTTGGCAAGGAGCCAACATGCCTGTATCAGCCTGTCTCCCCTCCGCCCCCAGCCCTGCCATGACTATGGCCGAGGCAGGTCTCTGCCTCCTCCTGCCTTCCCCGCCTCTCTCCCTCTCTCTTCCCCTCCCCCATCCAGACCCTTTGCAGAGGGAGATTTGTCCTCCTGTGGCTCCTGCCTCCTTTGCCCATGGCTGAATGAACAGCTACGGGAAGTGGTGATACCACGGGGAGAGGGCTGGGAGCCCGCACTGGGTACTCCATTCTTCAGCATCCAGGGAGCCAGGTCAGCTCAGCTGGTTCTCCCCATTTTCCAGACTCAGAAACTGGGGCTCTCAAGAGTGAAGGACTTCTCCAAGGTCATGCATGGGGAAGGGAATCTGACCTCCACTTTAGACAAAATGAGGCCAGGTTTGCCCAAGGTCAAATGAATTATGACTGCCCTGGGATGGTGGGGACCTGCCTCCCCTGGGCCGGGGTCCTCCCCAGGCTGGCACCTGCCAGGCCACCACGCCCACCTACCCTGTAGGTAGTAGGCCAGGTAGCCTTCTTCCCGCAGCTTCTGGAGCAGGGTGCCCAACACCGACTCGGCCTCCCACTCCTCGGCCTCGGCCTCGGCCTCGGCCTCCCCGCGCCTGTGCCTGCCCCCGCCCTGGTCGTACAGGAGCACTGGGGCTGG